TCCGGACTGGGCCACCTCAGATTGCTCCTGTGGCTGAATACTTCTGTGTAGGGGACCCTCCGTCCCCTGCTCCACAGAGAGCAAACAGATCAGGGAGAAGGATTCTCCTGTGATCTGTGTGTAGGTATTTCAAGTGGGAGGGAGGATCGGAGAAGAAAGCGATGGGGTGCACAGCATGTATAGGCCGAAGCGGCCCGAGTGCGGGTTCATTCCCCTGGTGGGGATGAGGCCTTCCTTGCAAGAATGGTGCAGAGCGGCTGGCCGACCTGCTACCCCAACCCAGATCTCTGGAGTTCCCCAGATGGCTACACCGCATATTCCTCCACCACCAACCCTTTGGTGCTTTCCTGGCATTTGAAATCTTTTTTCCCATGGTTGATAAACCTCCAAAGATCAGTTACCAGTAAGAGCTCGCAGCTAAAAGACATTGTTTTTTAATTTTTACTTTGCGTTTTGGCTTTACCCTTTTGCCCCCCAAAGTGCTCCCCAGCTCTGAAGCAGAATCTGGCCCTTGCGCTGGAAGAGGGCTCGCACTCCTGCCTTTGAAGTTTCCCTTCGCAGAGTTAGGCTTCAGGAAAAGGGAGGGGTCCTCTGGATTTATGTGGCTCAGTATCCCTTCCAAGGCACGCTCCTTTTCACCTAACAAGGATAGCACTTGCATTGATGATGCCAAATGGACATTCTGGATACAGCCGGCAGACACTGCTTTTGACTGCACCCCAAGATTTCCATTAAAATCAAGCCACTGTGTTTCTTTCTGTTGGATCAATGCAGCAGGAAATGTTTTTGGCACATGCTCAAGATGTGCGGGAGGGGGACTTAGGAAGGAGCCACCCCCCCCCCGACTAGAACTTCTTCCCTAGGGAGACCGACATTAAACTTGCCAATTTTTTTCTTAACCTTCCAGCCATCATTGGCTGTTCCCCTTGGCGTGCATTTCCCTGTTAGCAGAAACAGTGTGTTGATGTGCTTATTCTGTGCCATCACCTGATGCTTTTCCTGCTTCTGCAGCAGTTTCTCTTTCTGACTTTGCACGGAATCACTTGACCGCCCTCCCTGTCGAGTGTGACTGACTGTCCCTTCAGGGCAGGGGGTGACGTCACTGCCTGAGAATAGGAGGCGCTCAGAAATGGGTCTTTGGGGACTGGGCACTGCATCCCTGCCCTTGCTGCTGAATATTGCAGTCATCCATTTTTGTTGCTTGCTTTTTCATCTCCTTCCCTCACCCCCCCCCCCATGTATTTTGTAAAGGAGAATCAGGCGACGGAGAGCCCAGCCCTGGAAACAAGGGCTGGTCAGAGCTAGAGGAGTTTACGGCACCTAGGAAATGGATGATGCAGGGTAGGAATGTGAAGTGTTTTGCTTAATCTCGATCTGTTTTGCCAGTTCATCTAGTCCTGGATGGGGGTAGGCATACTTCTGGATTGTCCGTCTCTCTCTGTCTCTCTCTCTGTCTCTCTCTCTGTCTCTCTCTCTGTCTCTCTCTCTGTCTCTCTCTCTCTCCCTCCCTCCCTCCCTCCCCCCATTTGCAGATGAGATCAGTTATGCATAGAGCACAGTTTTATTTTGAAAATTAAATTCAGTTTAGGATCCTGGCATTCTGTCTATCCCAGCTGACTAGAACTTCTGCGTAAAGCCATCTGAAATATGCAAAGCTCATTCTTGGTAGTTCTTACGGCCAGTCTTGGTTTATATGAAACTGTCCAGGTCTCCCTTCCCAGGGATTAAATATAGAGCCCTTGTTCTTAATCCTCTGTGTGTTACACAGCCCCTTATCTTACCCTACCAGGGTATTTATAGAAAGCCCCCCCCCCAACAGGGTCTCTCATGTTTGGCCCTTAAAGCGACAAAAATCCAGTGAGGTGTAGTGGTTAAGAATACGGGGCTGGGACTCAGGCAACCAACTGGGTGACTTTGGGCCAGTCACAGATTCTCAGCCCATCCTACCTCACAAAATTGTTGTTGTGGGGATAAGATTGAGAGTCGCAGGAGGAGAATGATGTAAGCTGCCTTGAGTTTGTTATAGGGAAAAAGTGGGATTTAAATCTACTAAATAAATAAAAAAGCAGAATTGTGAATTCGACTCTTAAAAATAACTGTCAAGTGTGTCATATTTCTTTGAGAGGGAGCTTGCAGTTTATACATCGAGGTGTTTTATTCTAAATACTTTTGTTTCATTTAAGTAAAATGGGTTTAGTTGCAGGTAGGAAAGGCATGGCTTAGTGCTGGGAAGCGTCGGATGGAATTCTAAATACTCTCTGGCTGGTTGGCACATCACACTGAGCTAGCCTTGCGGACAAGCTGTGCGTGGAGGGGCATTGGCGGAGCACCTTGTGGAATACCTGTGCCAGTTTGTCCAGCAAGCAGCCCACCTGAGTGCGCATCCATGGGGTCCTTGTGGCAGAAGCTCATTTCCTCCTGGTGTCTCCCTTGCGCTGCCCCTCCCAGGATGTGTGTGTGTGTGTGCGCGCGCGCGCTTTCGTATTCCTTTTCAGAGACTCAGAATTGTTCCGCTGGAGTTGCAATTCTCTCTCTGTCTGCTTGTCAATCGCCTTGTAAGTTTCAGTTGTCAAAGGGAGTGGCCCATTTTAGAAAAAGGAAATTAACGGACAAAGTTTCCTGTGGGTAATACGTCCTCAGTGGCAAAGGGCTGGGGCAGAAGTCCTGGAGAAGGAAAGAGAGACCAAGCGGTGCAGGTCCAAAGCATCAGGAACGGAGGGGGAGCAAGGGAGTAAACACATCAAAATGAGGGCGGGTGGCCGGCGGGCCAGCCAACCTCTCTCCCTTTCCAGTGTGAGCCTCTCACATGCAAGTGCTGAATTGACGCTTAGCAACCCCCACCCCTCGCACAAACTTTTTCAGTACTCCCCTTGCTCTTCAGCTACTCCAGAAAGGGGAGATAATAACTCGAGGCTCCCTTCCGGGGACTCACCGCCAGAGCTGCCGCGGGGTGTCTTTCCCTCTGGAGCACTGCGTAGAAGCAGCCTCACTTAGCGAGCAGGCCCTGGGACTGATTTTTAAATGCCCATAGCAGCAGCAAGCCAAATACCACTCCAGGCGAACCTAGTCTGGTGTCCTCAGTTGCAAATGAGGTATAACTCAGCTGTGGCCGTGGCTGTGGCGCACCCATGCCCTGGCCTGCTTGGAATGACCTGTCCAAGAACAGAGGGAGTTGTCTCATACTGAGGGAGAAGATGAGTCCATCCAGGCGGGTATTGCTGCTGCTGGCGGGCACCAGTGGCTCTGCAGGGTTTCAGCAGGGGGTTTCTCTGCCCCACGTGCAGTTGTCAGGGATTGAGCCGGGACTTTCTGCGTGCGAAGCAGGGGTCCAGTGCTGAGCTGTGACCCTCCCTTGTCTTGCCATAATATGGGCGTCACGTTGGTTGGAAAGGTAGCAGAGTGGGGATCTGAAAGAATATACCTGGGGCTTAAGAAGGTGGCAGCAACCAGCTCTCCTTGCTGCCCGTGGCAATTGCAAATGCCAGCGCATGGCGGAAGGCTTTGCTTTTGTCTTCTTGTCTGCCAGTGTTGTCACTGATGGAGCACGTTGATAGAGGGAGATGTTGGGGAACTGAAGTGCCAGGCCAATAATATTTCAGTATAAACCTGTTCTTTCATAAGCTGCTAAGAGGTGCCCTGCTGGATCAGACTGAGAGGTCAGCATTTTGCTGCGCACAGGAAACCCACAAGCAGGGCATGAGCACAACAGCACTCTCCCACCCATGTTCCCCAGCAGCTGGAAGACATAAGCGTATTGCCTCTGATCCTGGAGGTCGCCCATACTCAAGGATAGCCTCTTCCTCCGGTTTGTCTGAATTTTCCACTTACCTGGCAATCAAGAATGGCTTGAGCTGGCTCAGAATTATAGAATATAACGCAGTTCAAATCCCAGGAACTCAGATCAACATAATGCAAAATCTAACAGCAGCAATCAAATCAAGCCTGTTTCTGCCAGCAGTATCGGTGTCCAGAAAGCCCGTCAGAATAAGAATGCTCTCCTTGAGTCAAAAGGGAAGGCAAAGAAGGGAGCCCCAATGACTGCGGAGGGGAAGGGCGCCTCTTCCAAAGCCTTGACACGTCTGCGGAGAAGGCCCTGCAGCTTGGGCCGCTGGGCCAGAGGATGCCGTTGCAAAGAGCAGAGCCCATGAGGCAGATGTGGAACTGCTTCTTCCAAGCTGTCTTTATCCTCAGATGTTGAGTGAGCATCTCTGCCAAGCAGTAGCAAAGAGGTTCCCTCTTTCTGAAGGAATTTGGGCTTCTTATTTAGACAGGCCACTGGCCTGTCTGCTGTTCCTTTGCTAAATACTTTTAAAATCCAGATGTTGGCTAACTGTTACCTCCTTGTTTCTTCCCTGGTCATGCCATGCTCTGTTCCGGGAAAATTATCCCATGGAGGCATCTGTGACTAGCCCAGGAGAGCTTGTGGCTGACGAGGGATTTGAACTCGGCCCTTCCTGTGCCAAATTCAGCATTCTGGCCCTCCCGATGTGTTGGATTGCGAGTCCACCATTCCCAGCCACAGGGGGTGTGGTCCAGCATGTCTGGAGGGCACAGGGTTGGGGAAGGCTGCTCTGTGCCCAGTAAAAGGCCTTGGTCAGCTCTGCAGCTTCAGGTGCCCTGGCCTGTTCTCCTCCCTTTTATGCCCACTGCAGTGTGTGGGCCGGAGAGGCAGAGCTCGTCTCTGCACCGGGCCGTAGGGTGCCCTGGGTGGGTTGCCACGGCTCCCCATTTCCCCTCCCTTGCAGCCTCGTCGTGAAGGTACAGTGAGGGATGGGTGTATGCTAGGCTGTTCCCCCCCTCCGCCGTGCTCCTCCACCCCTCCTGTGCCCAAGATGGTTTTGGCCACACAGTGATCACGCTTGCATGGACAAGACAAGGGCCTTTCCCTGGGTTCTTGGCTGCCCTGCTACCATTTTTCTTAGGCCTACAGGTCGTCTCGAGAAGGCTGCAAAATATAATGTGGGAAAGCAGTGACTCATCTTCGTTTCTCTCACTTCCAGGTCGGCTCCTGCTCCTGCTGCCACCCCCCCTGCTGGAGGAGAGGGAGGTGGCCCCCCACCCCCACCCCCCAACCTCACCAGTAACAGAAGGCTCCAGCAGACGCAGGCCCAGGTCGATGAGGTGAGAACCACTGTGTGCGCTTAAACAGGGAGCGGGGTGAAAAGCCCTCCCTCTGAATGGGAGCAGATTCTGAGGTGGTCTCCCTCTAACTTTCCTATGACGGCTGGTGCAAAAACGTGGGATAAAACATGCACTGCCCTTATTCCTCCGTCTTAGTTAAGAGCCAGAAGGGGCCTGCAAAGTTATTCCGTTCCAGTTCACCCACTCAGTGCCGGGTCTGTAAGTCAGGCATCTCCCAGGGAGTGCCGTCCCTCCAGCAAAGGGGGACCCACCATCTCCTGAGGCAGCCTGTTTCCCATTCAGGGAGCTTTCCTAAAGTATGTCTGGAATCCGCCTCCCCGTAATTTTCACCTCAGTTTTAATCTTGCCCTCTGGAGGAATGGAGAGCAGGTCCGCATCCTCTCCTGCATGACCAGCCCTGCGGGGTGTGTTTTGGGTGCAGGAATGTGAGCGTGAAGCAACCCCCCCTGCTCCTGTGGAGGTCTTCTGAGAGGGATTTCAAGGGAGAAAAAGCAGGGGAGAAAAAGAGAGCTTTTGAGGGAACGGGAGACTTCCGGTGGAGCCAGAATAGCAAAGATTGCAGGCAAAGATGTATCTGGGATAAGGGAACAGCAGTGACGGTAGGGTAAGGAGGGCCACCCTGGATTTTGTAGGAGCGTGGGCAGACAGAAGAAAGGGACTGTCCTTTTGTGGCGTGCTGCAGCAAGCTGTGATAAGGCTTGAAAGGGGGGTGTATATGGGCAAGAAAGAAGAGTTAGAGGGCAAAGATAAAGGCTTGCATCTCAGAGAGACAGGGACATGTCCAAAGCTGCCCGATGAGTGTCAGAGATGAGTTTCAGGGTTTCCTGGCTGTGAAAATGCCCCCCTTGGCAGGCCATCTGCACAAGCAGAAACGATAAGCACATTTTGCAGATTGTAAGCACTGTGCAGTTAATATGGGGAGATGCTTGATTATATTGTGCTGGTACCTGGAGGTTTCTGCTGAACTTGCCCATCCACAAGTTTCCTGGGAGGAGGGTCAGAATGGACTTTCAAGAGTGTCCGCAGTTACGCAAGTTTATTTTTATTAAAATTACCCTCCTCCCAGAAAACTACTGATGTCAAGCTGATGTCCAGATTGAGCGTGCCAACAGAAGACCCCTGCTGGATCAGACCGGTGTCCTGTGCACACAGGGGCCAACCACCCCCCCACCCCCCCACAGGAACTCACAGGCAGGGCAAGAGTGCAGCGGCCTCTCCTGGCACCAGGGTCTCCCCACCCCCCACCCCGTGACATTCTCTGTAGCGCGTGGAGAACTGTGGGCAGGAAGCGGAGGCTGGGGGTGGGTGCCTCAGCGTGCCTGGCAGCTGCACTGTGTGGATAACCCCCAGCCCGCTTCTCTTCCTCCTCTGCCAGGTGGTGGATATCATGCGGGTGAATGTGGACAAAGTCCTCGAGAGGGACCAGAAGCTCTCGGAGCTGGACGACCGCGCTGACGCCCTGCAGGCTGGAGCGTCCCAGTTTGAAACCAGTGCAGCCAAGCTCAAACGCAAGTACTGGTGGAAGAATCTAAAGGTACGGTAAAACGGGAAGCTCCGCCCTGCCACTCACACTCCCGTGCCTGTCCTGGGACTGTCAGTCCCTGCCGCCTTGAAGTCAAGATGTTCACTGGGCCACCTTGGAGCGGGAGGTCGGGCCACACTCAGCCCGGCAAACCGGGGCTTAATTCCAAGCTTATCCTTGGGTGCACTTGAATGGAGTGCGATGAGAGGGTCTCTGAGCATGTGCAGAGTGCAGGCGCCTCATCACTCGGTCAGTTGCAGCCAGTGGGTGCCTGTGAGAGCTCCACTCAGTCAGCGTCTAGTTTCTAAGCAGGGCTGAGCCGCAAGTGCCTTTTCTCAAGCCGCCCAGTCCGTCCTTGCTTGCTCCCAGACACGAGACTTCTCACGCTGCCGCCTTCCTTGGCTCACGCGCCTCCTCTCTCCCCTTCCACTTGCAGATGATGATAATTCTGGGAGTGATATGCGCCATTGTCTTGATCGTCATCATTGGTGAGTTCCGCCCCTTGCCGTTCAGCAAAGGCGGGTGGGTGTGGGGAGGCCGGCTGGGCTGAGGCCCTGCTCCTGTTACGGACTCAGGTACACCGCTGAGCGATTCCTTTTCCAGCCTTCCGATTTGAAATGCTCCAGACCATGTGTTGCCGCATTCTGCATTTGTGCAGACAAGCCCTCCCAGTCGGCGCCCTTGATATGTGTCGCCTCGCAGCGTGCCTTGTTCCCCCCCCCCGCCCCCGCACGGGTGTCGGCAGCTCCCCTGTGCCCTCAGACAGGCTTCCTCTTGGAAGGGTCTTGTGGGGGCACACGCACTTGGCCCTCCTGGCAGCATGCGGCTGATGTACTCTTCGAGGGCAAGGACATCGTGCACATCCTTGTGGGGCTGCCCCATAGATCCAGATGAGATGAAATGGTTTGTGCCCCATGGAGGGTGCACCGGTGCATTCCTGGGATCAGATCCTTTGGGGCTGGTAAGAGCTGAGGAAGGCCGTTTCCCTCATGTCCTGCTTGGAGACTTCCTGGAGAAGTCTTGGAGGCCAGTGCAGGAACCAGGATACAGTATTATTATTTTATTATCATTGCATTGCATTTCTGTACTGCCTGTAGCTGAAACGCCGAGCAATTCACAACATTTAAGTCCCCCATCCATCCAGGTTTCAACCAGGCCTGCCCCTGCTTAGTTTCCAAGATTAGGCGGGATCGGACCTTGCTGTGGTTCAGCGGGGCTTTTTCTCTGAGGGCCTTCTGGTCCACCCAAACTGGAATTGTCTTCTAGGCAGTGTCCATGCTCTTTCAGTGCAAGGACCTGTTCAATTCAGCGGTGGGCTGGGACCGAAAATAACTGGGGCAGGGTCAGAATACCCCCCCCCAAAATAACCCCAAACCCCGGACCACCATATTTTAGCTTATTAGCATGATTACATGGCATTTCTATCCTACTATTTTTCCTCTTGGGAGGAATCCAAGGCAACTGACATAGCTCCATTCTATGCTCCTGAATGCAAGTCACCCCGTGACCCTCGTGGTCAGGAACCTGGATCTCTCTCGTCCCCTGTCCTGCCTGCTCCCCACCCGCCGGCTTGCAGGAAGAGCTTAAAGCTCTTTCGGCAGGAACGAAACTGTGCAAGAGGCCGGCCCATCTCTGAACAGGAATGAAGCCTGGTTGCCCTCCAACCACGCAACCAGGACGCGTGGTTGGAGGGCGAGGTGGGGCCCGGGAAGAGGCCATGCCTTTTATTTAACTTCTAGCCTGCAGCAGCCTCTAAGGTTCGACATCCCCCTGACACACCCTCGACCTGGGCGTAAGTCCCAATGCACACAGTGGCTCCTTGCAGGGTTGTGCTTCCAGACCTTTCTGATGCAAAGCCCTCCCGTGCCACTGCTTGCAAGAGGTCAGGATGCATTCTGGGGATGCGACGGGGAAGAGCTGACAGTGGCCAAGGTAGAGCTGAGGAATGGCTCGTGTTTCTGCAGTTGCTTCCTTGGGCCTGCGCTCTGCTTTTGATCACTGTTGCTTTGCATTGATGTTGTGCTGCAAGGGGAGCCTAATTCATCTGAGACAATTAACAATTCCTTTTGTTTTTTCCTCCCCCCCTGCAGTTTACTTCAGCACCTAGTAGAATTTATGGAGCCATTTCCCATCCAGGAGCAGCGGCCGGGAGAGGTGTGGGGGCGAAGTTTTCCCCTCCCTCATCTAGATCTCAGCCATATCTTCCAGCCCCCCCCCCCATGCATCCCTTATACCCTCTCCCCCAATTCCCCTGTGTGTGTGGGTGTGCATTGCGTGTGGGTGTCTTGTAAATAGCCTGATTTGTTATTTATACATATATATATAATATAATATTATATTTTGTCTGTTTGTAGATTTATTACTAGACTTTCCATGTGTCATGGAATCTCCTGTATTCCTGCCAGCCCCTAACTTTCTCTCTCTCTCTCTCTCACACACTCACTCACTCACTCTCTCTGTCTCTCTCTCTCTCTCTGTTTTTTCAGTGTCTTGATTTTTAACCAAATCGTCAAGGACCAATAATTCCCCACAATCACAAGTTCCCTTCCCATTCTCCCCATTAGTTGTCTCTTAAGCACCTCCTCTTTTCCAAACTGTCATCTGGATGCTCATGGTGAATGGTGCCCCATCTTGGACTGTAGAACCTCCCCCCCCCCCCCCCGCTTTGCCATACCTCTAAAATGTCAGGACGCCTCATAGGGAGTGAGGTGCGTTAAACATGCACCTTCTTGCAATCTGGGCAAAATTTTTGCTGCCTCTGAGTTGAGTGTTATGCATTTCTTTGCCCAGACTACCTGCATTACTGTCCCTTTTGCAGGGGAAGAAAAATCCACACCCTTTGTGATCTTCTGTAACATTCCTGGAGTTGTGCTGTGTATTGTATCTTGAAAGTAATCCACATTACACCTTAGAGCCCCTCAAATCTGGGGGTGGGGCAGCGCTGTGTGACACCCTGCAACATTCCTGCGCCTCACCTCGCCGAGCCTCGTCCCCTGACCAAGGGAGAGGCAGCTGACTTCCTGCCATGACTATCGTGAATGGAAATAAACACACTCACTTTTTAAAAAATAAATGACGAATGATCAATACATTCCACACTTTCCATAAAGGAGGCACGGTTATTGGAGGGACCGTTGCCTTCCCTTAACTGAACAACTTCCCATGTGCATGAGCTGGGAATGACAGCAAAGGCGGGATTGAGGCGTCAGTTCCTTTCAGAAGTGGCAGGGAGGTGACATGGCAATTTGGCACAATTTTAGCCGCCTGGATGTCGGGGAAGAGAGGGACTGGGCAAGGGAGGGACTGTAAAATGGCATGTTGTAGGGAAAATTACGCTTCAGTCTACAGGGTTCGAAAAGATCCCCCCCAGTCCTGAGAATTAAATGTAGGTCAGCATGTTGCATCTTTGTATGGTTGCCCATACGAGGATGCTTAGGTATGCTCTCTCCAACTTCTGAGTGGAACTGCTGGCGAGGGATGGGAGAGTGAGTAGAGGGGGAGACCAGTGTGACCACTGGCTGTTGGGGGACCCCTTTCTACCCCACTGCTCCATCCTTGTCCACGATCAACCAGTTCAGCTTTGCAGACTTTGTAATCGTGATAATTGTGGTGTTCTCTCTCTCCAAATACCTGTTTAGCACAAACTGCCATCTTTCTTGGCCTGTTTATAATGTTGGTGTGACTTTTTTTTATTTTTTGGTACATCTTTCCTCCCCTTCTCTCCCCTTATACCCCCTCCCTTTTCTCCCACGGAGAGGAAAATGGTTCTCCTTGTCAACTCTCTATGTACCGATTGCTCTCTGAGTCCCAAGGAATTCCAAAAGGAGCAAGGAGAAGCGCAGCTTTGTGTCGGCATCGGGATGAGGAAGCGTGGGTGCCCTTGCCAGCTTGTGGGAAGACGTGGCATACACCGCAGGTCTCTCTGGGCACGAACGGGGCTGGGGCAGTGCTTGTACCTGGGGGTGGGCCGGGGGGGAACCACAAGTCTGACGCCATCCTAGCTCTCGCTGTGGAGGGACAAGGGAGCCAGGAGGTCGGACGACTTGGTGCTTCCATCCCCTTGCCAAGGACCTTGATGATTCTCGGCGGGTGCTTTGGGTTGGGAACGGCTGGGAAAGAGGCTCGAGGTCGAGGTGCTCTCGATTGTGGCTGTGGGCGAGCTTGAGGTAGCATCTTGCGGCGCGAGGAGGAGGTCTCGTCTTCCATACATGGCGCAGAAGGGGTGTGTGCCTCTTCGGGTGGGAGGTGGGGTGGGGGGGAGAGAAAGGGGCTGCATTTCTTTAGCTGGACAGCAGGTGTCACTGCTGCTTTCCAGCTGCTGAGCAGAGTTCCTCTGGTTCAGGGAAAAAGGAAGTGTAAACTGTAACCTTTGGCCAGAAAGAAAGGGATGGGCCCGGAAAAGCAGCCGGTCCGGCAGGTGCGGGTTGGGGAAGGCTCTTCTGCTTCTGCGTCTCCTGCCCGCCCCCTTCTCCCTCTTCCTCAGCAGGCCTGGGTCATGCAGGAAGGGGTGGGACCCAATATGGACAGAATTCCGAGTGACTATGCTGTGAAAACAATACAGACATTTGGAAGAGAAAATAATGTTCAATAAATGTCCCTGTGGAGAAAGCCCATTTTTTTGTCTTGCTTGTCTGTCCGTTGACCTGCTTTGGCTCAATTTTCATTACTTTATGTAAAGGAGGGTGCTGGGCACCCCTCACAGCACCTATGGATGCACCCGCATTGTGGTGCCTCTGGGCACCTGGATTTTAATTTGTACTTTGAAAAAAATGTTTTACAATATATGTATACGGAGTTGAATGAAATGCATACGGCTTTCTAGCAACTGTACGCTGGCTTCAGCCAAAACAGATCAGAACTCCCAGTAAATATCCATTTGATGTGGGTGTCCAACCATACATCAAAAAGCATTGCTCGATAGGAGGTGAGCATTTATCCTAAAAGTTTTGCAATATTAGCCTTTTCGCTGTCAGAGGGTGTAGGGAATCTTAGAAACATAGAAACAGTGCGAGTCAGAAGGGGTCTCCCGGGCCATCTAGTCTGACCCCCAGCTCCAGCCGGCTCTGCTCACGACATGCCCACCATGTGCATGTTTTCTGTGAATTAACATGAAGTGGGCAAATATTTTCAAAGCACATCTACATCAGCGAACATTCAGGACTGTCCCAATGTAAAATGTATCTGTAAAACAACCTTGCAAAAAAGCAGCTACTACTGGACATGGCCAGAATTTTTCCTTAAAAGAAGCATTTGGCAGTCAGCCGGATTGCATTGATCCCTCATCGCAGAAGCCTTGCGGTGTCCAAGAAACACAGCGAACGCTCTCGATGAGTAGGACAGCCCAAGATCCATAGTGGCAGGTAGGTGTCAAAGTCACGACCCGCCAGATACACCCTTTGGTGCTGCTTCAGTTTCCTGAGTTCCCCAGTGGGCCCCGGGCCAAAAGGGCTGCAGGCCCCTGATTAAAAGCATGGATAGCCCATTCCTCAGGCAGATTCTCAGTCTGTGCCTGCCACTTTTTTCCCCAGATGTAAATGGGCATTTTGGGGGAAACTTCAAATACTAACAATTACTTTTATTCCATATTCTTCATTTGTATCCCTGTTTCCTGCAAGAAACAAGGGAGCGTACATCTTCCTCTCCAATTTTCCCCACAACAGCCCTGTGAGGTAGCTTAGTCTTGAGTACCAAGTGTTGGAGAGATTGTGTATCAATCTATTGGTCTCCAAAAGTATTGGATTACAAATCCCAGAATCCTCAGTGGGCAAGGCACCTGGCACATCTTGGGTTTTGCTTGTATGGGAAGAAAAGTTTAAACGGAAGACCATCATTTGCGTGGTACACAGCTGTAAATGGCCCAGAGAGTTTTGGCAATTGGGCAGCATGGAAATTAATAGGTTTGTGGATCACAAAGCTTCCCTCTGTCGTCACCACGATTTAGACTGCGAAGGGCTTACATGGCAAGTAGAAACCGCTTTGGGTGGGGAAGGGCTGTAGTGGAGCTGAAAAGATACTCGGAAAAGTACAGCTGGTGAGAAAGATGTCACCCCAGCCCTGTGGCTTACGGCTTCCACATTCCTGCGCACAAGGAATCCTATTGAAATCCAGTGTATACATGAAAAGCTCCCTTCAGCTGAAATTAAAGTGATGGAGGGGAAGATAACCCCATGAAAAATCCCATGAAATAATGGGATTTAAGTTGGTCATGATTTCAGTAGGCCTGCTCTAAATGTGAGTAAGCCTGAATCAAGCCCGTTCGTTAAAGAAAACCCTGCTTTCACAGCGTGTAGTCCACCAGCGGAGTTCATCTGTCAGTGCGAGAAACGATCGAGCGTATCTCCTTTGGAACAAGTCTGTTGGTTTCTACTATGTCCAAGACCTGAGCTAACCATTCCTCTTGCTTGCTGCAAAGTATACACTGTCTTTAACTACAATTCTAGCTACATCCACAAATTGAGTTAATCCTGCAAGCAGATGGCAAAGATGCTTGGAAAGGCAGCTGAAAGCCACTTCGGGTTGAGATGGGGTAATTCACACCATTTCTGCACTCAATTCCCTCGTAAAAGGTTTGAAAATAAAAATATACACACCTCCTCATCTTCTCACCCCAAGGTGTGATTCTTAACATAACTCTTAAGGATTTACCAAATATGTCCTGTACATTTTCCTGGGAATAATGCAAAACACATTGATTCTGGTTGACTTCATGGCCAAGTATAGGGAGGATGAGTAGGATATTGGGTTGAATCCAATGTTAGTTCACCTTGAAACCCATTCTTTTCAATGTTCTCTGAGTGGGATAATCATCGGATGCAACCCATCTTGGCCCTTTGGGTTAGGATGGGTCTTACTTTACTAGTCTGCAATGGCCGCATGGCCCTCTGCAGGCTAAAATTCAACATCAAATGGCGGGGTGGGGGGGGGGGAGGAGAGGTGGGGATAAAGCAATTAGCAATTATTTCTGTTATGCATGTGAAACAGTTTGAGGAATAGAGGGCATTTGTCCAAATGATCTGAACTGTTGTGCCACCCAGTGAAAAATGGATACAAAATGGGTATCTGTATTTACCCCTATCTGTGGAAATTAGCATCAAATGAAACAAATCAAATCATTAAAAACATCCATTTCCAGATCTTGTGAGGGACAAGAACACAAGCAAAGCCATGCTGGATCAGACCAAATCCATCAGATTATTAAATAAAACACATAAAGCCAGATGACTGAATAAAAACCGGTAGTGCCTTAAATATGGAGGGGGGGGCAGCTCCAGTGGGCTTTGCTAAGGTCACTGAGCAAGTTTTGGCCTACCAGAGATAAGCAAGGCTAGGTGCTTTTCTGCATACGCAGGTCCATCATTGTACCTGTAGGTGACGACTCCAGCTTGTACGTAAATTGTGCGCTGCCAAAGACGGTTCCTGGACATGCCCCAATTGCCTCAAATGCCACGAACAGAGGTTCAGGATGACTTGCTGGCCGAGTGTGCACTGATCAAACACGGGAGAATCGAGGGCTTTGGCTTGGGTGACTATTGAGTTAATCCTATACTGAGCTCTGCCATCGAAATCTTTAAGAAGCAAGTGCTTGAAATAGACTTTGGAGTCTGGTGCAGTGCGCAACGTCTCCAAGCAGTGCCTGAGTTTTTGAATGCTTAACCAGCTTGTGGGCCTCTGCAGAGAAAGCCATCAAGCCTGTATCTGACAGCAACACCAAAAGGCCCTCGATGTCGCAGCACAAACACAAATGGAATTGCTCAGGTGTAAAGGGTCCCTGGCACACTGCCAGGAGGGACACTCTGCCCAGCAGGTTTTCTGGGAAGATTCCTTTGCACATGCTGGTGCGACAGGTGTGACATTAGAGCCCCCCGGCATTAGTGCAACATAATTTGTGTTAATTGAGCGACACTGCCTCTGACATGTGCAGAAAACCTACTCTGTGGCTCCCTGGGCACCGGCGTGGTGTTTTGCCCGTGCTGAAACTCTTGCCCACTCCTTGTGATGGATCTGCAACTTTGGCAAAGTGCTGGACTTGCCTGATTTTTATTTTTATTTTTTTTTGGTGGAGCGGCAAAAAAAAATCTTTGTCCAAAGCATGTGACATGGTTTGCAGTTTTTAATGAGTTTACAAGACACTGCTTTGATGCAGCAAACCAAAACCAGACACTGAATTCATAAAGTCTAACATTAAGGGCTTAACGCTCACAGCGCCAACTACTAGCAATAATCTTTATTGCAAAATTCTAACATTCCCATAAACTAATTTCCCCAATTTTCCCATTTGCCTATTAGACATTAATAGTGCATTACACAGAACCTCTTGGATATAAAAAATCTCTGTTTATTTTCCAAAGAAGTCTGAGAAGCCAAGTTTCTTCCATGCTGTTGCGTCCACAGGAAGGGCAAAGAAACTGCCACACAGCAAAATCTGAAGGATGCCTTTTGCATACATTTATTTATTATTTATTAATTAAAAGGTGTTCTAACCCATCCACTACAGACATCTTGGGACGGTGTCCAAAAAATCCTGATTTCCATATTAGCGGAATTCTTAATGCCCCTCAAATTCTACCTCTCAATTTGTGATCAAAATTTAAAAATTAAGATCCCTGTGATAATCATTCTTTATGCCCTTCTATTGCTTAAATCCAGCAGTATATGCATTCTTACTTTTAAGGAACATCCTGTATCCAAAACAAATATTCAGATATCCAAAGCAAAGCGAACAAATATTCTTGCTTCGGACAAGCCTTTAAAACTTGCCAGTTTCACCCGCCGGCAAGAAGTTAAAAAAAGTCAAAGCTCAACTTCCTGGTTGATGTTTCCTGATGCAATGCTTGGAGAGGTTTCCTCACAATGCCATGGTGGTCCGCTTCTGCCACACTGAGGTCAGAACGGTCTCGTTCAGGAGCCTGGTCCAACCCCTTTATGCCCAAGAGCCAAATTCCATTTGGGTGATACTTCTGGGGTTTGCATTTGAACAGTGGTGGGCCGAAAGCAAAGAGGGGAGGCCCAAATCCCAGCAATTTTTATTTTAAAGGGCATAGTGCCCCTAAGGAATCTTTAAAGATTTGCACATGGCATCATGAGCGAAGAAAACTGGGAAGTCACCAGGTGGTCTGGGGAAGAGCAGGATGACCACCTGTGCCGCCTGCGCCCCACAGAACTGAAGTTTAATACCGCCTGTCTGGTTAAAGTACACGAAAGGAAGGAAGGGAGGGGAGGAAGGAAGGAAGGAAGACAGGCAAACACTCCTGATTCCTCAAGATATGCAAGCTGGGCACAAGCGTTTGCAGGCCAGACTTCATCCGAGGTCTGGAGCGCAGTCCTCAGCTTGGCGGATGCCGGCGCAGAACAGGGCAGCGTCCTTCCAGGGCCACCCAACGGCAGGACTGGAAGAGCTGCTTTCGCGGTCGTGTGGGTGGAAGAGAACAGCTAGGCCCTGAAGCTTGGCTATTAATAATGACAGGCAGATGGAACAAAATGTGCTTGCCTCCTGACCCATCTTCCTGTGCTGTGATTTGCTGGTCCCTGTGCAGGGAGAGGTTGCCCTGGCATGCGCAAACCTGCTTTTCTGCTGAGATGGCTTGCCAGCCAGAGGGAGGGTGCCATGGGGGCC